ACTCCAGCCAGATGGTGCCTTCAGTGGACGGCCATGGCATCGGTGGTGAGCCCTCCCTGGTGCTGGGTCCTGTGACTGAGGCCACCATCCCAGAGGAGGAAGGGACTAGCGGGAGTGGTGTGCTTCCCTCCACCAGGGTTTTCCTGGTGAGATTGCCTGATCAAAACCCTCTGTGCCTGATTTGTGGGGACCATGTGGGTAGACCCTCTGCCCTAGCTCTCCACTGTATAAAAGATCACAGTGGAGCAGATGTGCAATACCAATATGTTAAATGTGAGTGTATCAGCTAGAATAAGCATAGTATCCTCTGCCACATCCTGAAGTGCAAGTGGAGGATGCCAGAGGGTAGAGTGAAGGACTGGGCATGTCCTGAATGCCCAGCCTCCTTTGATAAGCAGATGGGTCTGTCACAGCACAAATGGCATGTACATCCAATAACACATAATGCGGAGAGGGTCACAGGTGATCTTCAGAGGTCTATGTCTGGGTCCCAATCCAGACGTGGGTGCTGGACGGCAGAGGAAGAGGAAACCCTAACCGGATTGGATATGATATTCCACGGTGCTTGGAACATCAACCAGCTGATTGCAGCAGAATTGGTGACTAAGACACCAAGGCAAATCAGTTGTAAATGAAGAATGCTGTGACACCCCACTGCACCTCCTTGGGTCTTGGTTTGGTGGAGGAGCTGGTGTTCCTAAAGGTGAACCTCTCACTGCTGGAGTTCCCCAAGGTCTACCTGCAGAAGGAGTGAGTGCCACCCTCCTCACTCCATCTGCACCTATTTCTTCTTCTGGTTTTTTTTAAAACCATTTAATGCCCTGCTCTCAGAGCTGAAGGGGGCACTCACTGCATCACCAGCCAGCAGGGGAAGAACATGTCCGTGCTGAGTTCCCATGCCAGGACAAACTTGAGGGTATGGGCTGGGGCTATGGGGAAGGAGGAGACCTCAGGTCCTGGGCATGACCTAAAACTGTACCCTGCCAGGGTTGGGAGGCCTAATGGGATTGCTGGTGGCATGGCAGCCCTCAAGAAATATCAGAACCACAAACATCCCTGGTGAAAGGTGGGTAGGAGGTGCCTTATAACCTCCAGCCACCACACGCATGCACAGTCCTGGCTAGAGAAAGCACAGACCTGTAAGATCTGGGAGCAGAGCAGTTTCCTGGCCCCGACCCCAGCCCCCACCTTGCCTCGCCACTGGAAGCGGAGCAGTTTCCTGGCCCCAGCCCCTGCCTCACCTCATGTTGCCTCACTTCCAGGAGCAAGGAGGCATGTGCCATCGGGGATGGGGAGCAGTTTTCCAGTGCCGGCAGAGCCCGTGCCAGCTCCTGTCCCTGCCTCGTTATTCCTCTGGGAGTGAGGAGGTACATGGCGCCTGGGCTGAGAAGTGGAGAAGTTCCCCAGAGCCAGCCCCCAGCCCCTGCCCCCATCCCTGCCTCACCATGCCTTGCCTTGCCTCCGGCAGCCTACCTGAGCTTATCTCAGTAAGTTTCGCACACTGGCCTTGGTGTCTCTGTTGTGCTCAGTTTGTTGCCTCTGAAAGCTGCGGCCCAGCTCCTCACCGGGCAGGTGTGCAGCATTAATGAACTTGTGCGTGGCATGGTTTTAAAGTGTGCATAGCTGAACATGCGTGCAGCTTACAGAGAACCTTGTCAGGGGGTGAGGGACATGCTGTGGGTGGGTGGGAATGTAGCAGGTAAAAGTGGAGAGGTACCTGGGGAGTCAGATGTCTGGCAGGTTGTAGCGTGTCATAAATTCAATATCTATAGAGTTCATGAGTTTCTGTATCTAGGAGGTTGATAAAGTGAAGTTCATAGGTTCATCTGTGAAAAGTGGTTTGTAAATTCCCTTTGAGGATCAGGCCTGAGAGATTAGAGACAGAGAGTGACTTTCTTGTGAGAAATGTGCCCCCCACAGGTAGTTGGGTATTCTTGTCTGCAATAGATTTCTAGCGTGCATTCATTATGGTGCACAGGTGTTGCTTAGTGTCTCCTACATATTTTCCATCAAGGCATTTGGTGCACTGGATGAGTTATATAATGTTTCTGGAGGCGCAGATGTAAGATCCAGGAATGATGATTGTTCTGTTGTGGGATGTGGTAACTGTCGGGGTACTGGAGATATGTTGGCAGGTTTTGTATTTCTTGTCATGGCATGGTCTGGATCCATTTGGTGTATTTTGGGCTGTAGGAAGATGGCTTCTGGTGATCAGGTTAGTGAGGTTCAGTGCTTGTTCGAATTTGCAAACCACTTTTCACAGACAAGCCAACCTTAATTTCATCACCCTCATAGATCCAGAAACTCATATATAAACTCAATATAGACGTTGGATTTATGACACACTAGAACCTGCCCAACATATGACTCCCCAGGTACCTCTCCACTTTTCTTCCGCAGCCTAACAAAGGGTTTTTAAACCCAAAAGCTTGCTCAGATCTCTCTCTCCAACTATTCAGTTGGTCTAATAAAAGATATCAGAGGTACCCTCGACTGGCCTGTGCTGGGGCCAGGACCCAAAACAGGGGTCAAAGGGCAGGGACCCATTGCGAGGAATGCCCAGACCAAGAGGCTTGGGATTCCACCTGGCCTGAAGGTGAAGCCAGGGCCTAAGGGGATGCCAAAGGTCCCAGAGGGGGTGAAGGATGCAATCTGCAAGGTATGGGCCACAGCATAAGGGGAGGTACGGAGCTGCGGAATGGATGTCACCCCAAGATACCTAAATGGGCAGCCTCCTCCCTGGGAAACTTCTGAGTCAGTTTTCCATCAAGGTGTGGCAGGCAAAATAGAGGGGCAGGCAGCTGGCCCAGAAACCGGTGGGTGGGTGGAGATCTAACCGGCACTGGGAATGCCTCCTGTTACAGGCTACCATCCCTGCTGCTTTCATCCCACTGTGCCTTAACACACACACAAAGTCACACATGTCACAAGTTTTGCTTTCAGAGCTTGAGGTGCAGTTTCCCAGAAACCCCTTCACCTGTCTCCTTGAAACCTGGCAGGCTTTATGGCCTCAGAAGGAGCTACATTTTAAGAGATTTTTCTCATTTCCCTGACACGATTATATGGATCATTTCTCCTCTCATTCACAATCACAGTCCATTTACAGTCTCCTAGGAACATTTCTCCTTCCAACTGCATAATATCCTTGTGGCAACTACAACAATTGGTTACATGAAAGAAAAATTATGAAAAAAAATATGATTTTTAGCTCTCCTTAGACTCCTTTGAAAAATTATTATACTTCTTATTTTGGTTTGTCATTTTATTCAATTTCCTCTCACATCGCTTTTTATTTTTCTGAGCTGAATTTTTCTTAGCTGCCAGGTAGGCAGGGAGTTCTCTGTAGGTCACCAGCAAGAAAGCTGACCACAGTTTAAAAATCTCCTTGTTGGGAGGCTAGTAAATTGGTAATTGTTCACTAATAAAGGTTCTATCTTTTGAATATAATCAAGGTCTCAGATGCTGTGATCAATAAAGAGTTAATGGCTCTGTCTGCAATTTTTTTGTGACTATTTTTTTTCTGTCTTGGTTAAACTGTAATTTGGGTAATTACATTCTGCCTACTTTAATTCTTGCTGCAGTTTCATTTGGGTCTAACCCCAAATTTGTCATTTAAATTGCTAATTCAAACAAGATTTGTGCATTCCATTAAGTAGCAACTTTTGAAAATTTGGCCCACAGCACTCCTCTCTCATTCTTACCTAGGGTTTTATAGCATTTTTGTGTAACAGCATATGACTGCCGAGTTTCATCTCAGAGATGGCTGTATTTCAGTGTTGCATGAAGTGATTCTTGTATACAGAAAGACTGTAAAATATTTTGTTTATGAGGAGAAAAGAACAATATAAAACATGACTTTTATTTTTTCATTTTTTGACTGTGCTACTTCATTTCTGCATTAGTCTTGGTGTCCTTTAGTTTACCCTAGGCATTGACATTAGTCTTGCTGAGAAGCAGTGCATATTAGCTTGGGCAGGGCGTTATATTAACGTGACTGTGGTATCGACTTGTTCAGAGCATGGTACTGCATGTTTCTGTGTAGATATACACTTAGACAGTGGTGTAACTAGAGCAGGTGACTGGAATAGCTGCCCCAGGTGCCGACTTGCATGGGAAAAAATGGCTGCTGTTGTACAGTTGTACCAGCAGTGGTGGAAGCTGGAAGTCGCTGCTGGCCCTGTGTGTTGTAGCTGCCCCGAGTGCACAGCTGCATCATTACATCTCTGACACTTAGGGATAAATTCTCCTCTCCCCTTGAGGCATGAAGGGGAATCATCAACTGGAATATGGGGTGGGAGGGAGCGGGGAGGAAGAAGCTCATCACTAAGCCAATTGTAGGCCCAGAACTCGCCACTAAGCCAGCTGTAGTTCTAAAATTACAAAGAGCTCGGTGAGTGCTTTATCTTCTTGGGGGAAAAGGAAGACCTGATGGCTCTTCCTAACCTTCTAACAGTGTCTCCGTTTGTACATGGGTTTGTCTCTGCAGAACCCCACAAAGGTTTAGCAGCCACTGAAGGGTTGTTGGTTTGTGTGCAGGACATGAGAACTGTATTTGGGCTCTCAGTATTTCGCCCACCTCTCCCATTTCAGCCACCTGCTACTGTTATGACCAGAGGTGGGGGTAGCCAAGATTTGCCTCTAAACAAGTAAACTAAACTAGAGATCTTTAAAAAAAATCTTTAGTCCACATAGTGAACTAATATATTTTATCCTAACTGCCTTCATCAAGAAGGCTCTACAAAATCATATGATGAGGCAGCTTAACATGGCTCTATGGTTTTTGATGGAAAAACAAATGCATTATTTAAAGGGAAAAGTGCCTTTCTCTTGTTATCATTGTATTCCCATCTTGTTTGTTGCAGATTGTGTCAGACTCTTAAAATCATTTCACCCTGCAGCTTCTGGAAACTCTCTCTCTTCTACATTGGAAGGTAATATGCCAAAGACAGAGCCGTGTTTTGCTATATTTTTCAGTCCTAGTATTAACTGATTGTGTGCACTAATAATATATGAAGACTTCTGTGCTCCAGATAACTGTTAATATGCTTGGTACTTTTGTGTAATAATTTATTTATAGTTTTCTTAAATCTTTGATAAATATAGCAAGTCAAATTCACCCCAGTATAACTGCATTGATTGCAGTGAGTATAAATCTTAATCATGAAATGTTCACTGCACACAGAGGAGTGAAACAGTATAGACATCAGGGCTGGAGAAGAACAATTATTGCACAAGCACTCTGTATTTGCCATCAAATACATAAATAGCTCCCCTTTACACATTTTAAAAAAAATCATTTTGGGCCATTATGAAACCTTCCATACTAGGCTGCTTTTTGGAGGAATAATATGCTGTCAATCTAAAATGTCTGCTTCTGATCTCAAGTATGAGTAACTATTTTAATGAAAGAGAACAACCAGGCATTTGGGTATAAGCTAGGTAAGTCATCTGACTTCCAGGGCTGTTTTTTCCCCATCTTCCCCGCACATTTTACTTCCTGCTGGCTGTAGCATTTTTGGCTCTTTTCCTCTGAAGCTGCTATCTCAGCACTGCACTGCAGATCAGCCAGATGGCATATTTCTCTTCTGCTTCAAATGTGGCTCCTGGGAGCCACTCCCAGTTTCCACCAGTGTGAGGAGGGAATAGTGGACCATTCCTTGAGTGAACTGTGGGAATTTTAGTACAATTAAGATGAGTCCCCTTAAAAAACAGTCATTTTTTCCAGTCAAGCTGATTGTGGAACATGATGCATTAGAGATAGGGAGGAACATAATGGATTTATTGCCTAATACAGCAATTCGTCAGGCTTTGCCTAACATTCTTGATTTAATGAAAGACTTAACATTTTTAGGACAGTTAGAATCAGGGGCTGAAGCAATTGATTTCCTAAGTTATTTTATAGATGAGTGTTTTTCTCCTTCTGCAGTCTCATGCAAATGTGAACTTTCAACTCTGCAAGAGAAAACATTTATTTTAGTAGTGTCTTTAATCAATAATCAATCCTTTCAGTAGCTTCCCCTTTGTCCAGCATCATGTCTGTACTTACATTTCATTATGTTGATTTCAGTGCTTGCAGGTGTTTGGAATTTAAAAGCCTCTTTTAAAACTTGATTTGTAAATATATTCTCCGTGTATGATTGTGTGAATTACTGTTTCATATCAGAGATCTGGGGAAAAGGTACTGGATGCTGGAGGTGCTAGAAGCATACTGACTAAAACCATCAGCATGGCAAATAAAAAAAAATAAAAGGTTTTCAAATAAATTGCAACAGAGCTTGGAAATTAATTTTTAAACTAAAACCAAATGATCATACATACTTACCACCTGCTTGGTTTTCAGTTCAGGACTGATTCCTCTAGTATCCAAGCCAAAGTTTCCTTGGAGGGTTTTACCACTGAAAGTATTGCTTATGCCATTTCACTCCGCTTCTTTTCCTGGTTTACGCTGTTGATCAACATGTCTGTGCACTTGAAGCAGGCAGGCTTAGCACCAGGCAGAACCTGATAGTTTAATGCTCTTCAAAGAAGTTAAACAATAGAAAAGCCACATGTAAGCAGGAAAAAAGGTGGAGGAGATGCACAGGCAAATTTAATACTGGTTTTTTAAGAGAGAGGGGTTTTTTTGGGGGGGGGGCGGGGGGCAGAGGAGGGTAATTTCCTAAGTTTTTAAAGGCCTAGGAATGAGAAGCCAGGAATTCCACCACATGAAATCCTGCTGACTGCCATGTGGGTGGTAGTGCTCATCTGTGGTACAGGACTATTCAGATCCATGGCACAGACCTCTGTCACTGGAGCTACCTGAGTATGTGAGAGTACCAATAGGTGCTCTTCTTTCTGGATATAGGAAGGAGATAATTTTTTCTAGTGAGGTTTACAGCTATATGCTGACAGAAAAAGAGTGGTGAGTCTAAGAAACCTTACACTTCATCCCAGGCTATGGAAGCTAGTAATCTTTTGCTCCTGTCCCACCAGATGCAACTCCTCTATCCTCCATTCTGGCCCTATTCCAATTCTGTTTCTCTTGTCCACAGCATCTTGTCCAGTCTTTCTCCCTCCCAGCTTCTTGTTCCAGTGTCCATTCCCAGACACGCTCGGTGCCAGCCCCACTCATATGATCTGTTGCTGCCCTCTAGCCACCGGCTCTCTCACCCCACTTTTATTAGATCAGCTGAGTAGCTGGAAAAAAAGTTTTTAGCAAGCTTTCAGGTGCAATCGCCCTTCTTCAGGCAGAGGAAATCTTTGCTGTTCCTTGGAGTCTCAGAATAGCAGAAACTTCCTATGCCTGAAGGGCAATTGCACCTGAAAGCTAAGAACTTTCCCCCCACAACTACTCAATTGGTCTAATAAAATATATCACATTTACCCAAAGAACCTACCTGCCTATGTCCTTAGACAAATATGTCTACAACCAAAAACCTCCTGACTTTAGCACTTGCTCTTTCACTTCCCACTTTAGCACATCTGAGTTTCTTCAGTGAGTTCCTGATCCCTGTCTCTTTGACAATCCAGTTCTATTATTCCTTCCATTCTCCAACTTTTAGTCTCAGCCTTCTCCTTTATCTCCTTGTTCTAGCCTGTGCCCCCTTTTTATACCTCCAGGCTCATCTCTTTACTATTCTATAACCTGATCAAACTATTCTCTCCTCTTCTTTAAGTTTTCAGGGACCAAGAGAGACAATACCATGGCTGTCAGTTGCAGTGCCTGATACCACAGGAAAACCTGGAAGCTTGGAGGAACAAATGGATCAAACTTAGCTATAGATAACTTCAACAAATTTATCATATTTCTATTGAACACGAAACAAGAGAAATATTTTATTGGTCTGTAACTTGTCCCAAATTCGGTTATTTTTACAGACAGGGAAATAGGTGCATCAGAGCAGCTCACCTGTCAAATTTCAAGACATTGCTCGAACACATGGAAGCTCTACAGCTTCTCAACGGAATTGTTGCAATTTTTTTTTTTTTTTTTTTTTTTTTAAAACACAGGCAAAATGGAGTATTTCTCCCTCAATCTTGTTTTGGATACAGCATTTTTACTTAAATAAAATCAGCCTGAGTCAGATAACTTGCTTGGAAATGTTCATCCAAATGGTTAAAACTAGACCAACTTATAAATAGGGTCTTATAGTAGGAGCAGTCAGGCAGTTAAATGTGGATGATACTACCAGCTTCACCTCTATACTTGTCCTTCTTATTCTTAATTATTTAAGCAATGTATGCTCAGACGTATGGGATGTTTTTGACAAACTGGTTCAGTCTTTCTCCATAAATTGCCTACAGCTGTTCTTATGTTTTCAAATTCTGTAATCATTCTAACAAATATGAGTTTGGAGTATAGTGAACACATTAATATTATTAAATACTTGTCTATAAATCATGGGGGATAATTTGGATTTATATACTATTCTATAGTAAATGGATAACAATAATACATTAACAATTGGCAAAGTATAGCTGTTCATTTTATATTTTCTGTTGTTTATTTTCTTCATGGGGATGAGACAGGTAATTGATTCAGGTTTGGTTTTTTTTAATAATTAACAAGCATACTGGGTGAAATTCAGAGTTCTCAGAAGAAGCTATATACATTTTTTTAGTAAGTCAGCATAAATCAGTGTATCCAAGTATAAACTAGAATACACTGAATGCTGAGGAAAGCATGACTGTAGAAAGTAAAGTAATCACTAGGAGAATGCAAGTAGGCAAAATATACACAGGATCTGCACTGTCTTACATTTAGAAGACAAGTATTTGCTATACTGTAAGGCACCCAGGAATGTGCATGGAAGTGCCATTAATTGAAAGGAAGAAAAATCACTTCAGGTCAGGCTGAATTAAAAGAATGTGCGTTTTCCTGGTAATGAAATCTCAACCCAAAACATTTTACTTTCAACGTTTGATTCAAATTAAAACATTTTCAAAATGCATTTGTTCTTGACATATTGTTTCGGAATAAAATAAAAAAAAACAACCCATCTGGTGAAAAATTTGAAACAAAGGGTACCTATACATGTGCTAGACGTCTGGTCTGATGCATGCTAATTAGCACGTGTTGGAGTAGACTTGATTAATTGAGTCTGCTGGAGCATTCTAATTAAAGCACTCCAGCAACCTCTGTGTCTTGTCTATTCAGCATCCTCATGCTTCAAAATGGTGGTGGGGGTGCTTGAACTATAGCTTGACAAACGAGCTACAGCAAGTTTCCACCTGGAATACCACTCATCCATCCCTTTACCAGAAAGATTCAACAGTGACTGGCTCTGTTTCCACGGGTTTCTCATGCAATACTGCATCCTATTCATAGCCCAACTTGAGCCCTACTTCCAAGTCTTGGCAAGGGTAAGCCTAGTAATTAGCTATTTCCAGGTGGGGGTCTATGGGAGGAAATCAAGGGTGAACTGACTCAGGTGGAAAAACCCTCAGAATTTGATACATTCATAGACATGGCTGTCCAGAGTGATTTCTATCTCTGGGAATGCAGAGAGGAGAAGAAAGTGGCTTTTCCCCCTCCAGGGCCTCACCTTGCTATGGTTGCTCCCAACCCCATGCCATTGGCCAGGGGCTCTGGCACCCCATACCAGAAGAATGGGAACACCACTAGCAGCCGGAGTGGTGCTGCAATGGTGGAGGCCAGGATATGAGTGCTCCACATGCCCCCAGAGAAGGGGCAAAAGTAAACAAGTGATCCTGGCCTGGTAAAGCAGACCACCTCAGGATCATCCAAAGTCCCCAAGGCATCCACAGCCCATGAAGTCTGTGGCATACACAGCCCACAGAATCCCTAATTACTGTTATCTACCCATCTCTGAATCCCAGGGCAGAATCACTCATTCCTTATGCTGACTACCTTACTGGCCTTTGGAGCTGTGAGTAATTTTGTAGACAAGACCATGGCATGAGGACTTCAAATCTCTCTAAGGCAGTGATGCAAACCCAAAACCATAGACAACATGGCTAAGGACAGAAGTTACACATAAACTAGTTTAAGTGATCAGAAACTGGTTTAAATCTGTAACAGAACAGAAATTCAGTGCACATAAACCAGTTTCAAAATGGTTGAAACTACTTTAAGATAAGCCTGGCTGAATGTATATCAGACTCAAGTGATTTAGGTCAAACTGGTTTATGGAACTTCTGTCCCACATCCCTTCCTGGTTCCAGTTAAATCACAGTCCCCCAGCATCCCAGGATCCTTTGAGCAGACAGCACAGCCCAGCCCAGGGCTCCAAACAGAGCAGGGTTGGCCTCACCCCTCTGCTTTCTAGCCAGAGCAGCGAGGACTGGCTGGCTGACAAGGGAATGGGGCTGGGAAACCCAGGTGGGGAAACAGCCTGGTCTGCCTAACAGGGGTGAAGCATCCCCTGCCAGATGTCTTGGACCCCTTGTCCAGCTCCCAGTGCAGCTGGGGTGAGCCTATGCCACGCACACTGCTGCAGGGGCTGGGGCCAGCCTGGGCACTGCTCTCCAGTGGGAAGAAGGGGCCGCCAGGCAGGAGCTGCTCCCCCAGCTGCATGTTTGGCTTGTGGGATGTATTTATGCTATGTTGGAGCCTGAACTCTCTGCCCTCTGTGAGTACTTAGATGAGAACCTGGACTGGGGCTTTATACACACATCCACTTCACCTGTGGGAGCTCCTGTCCTATTTATTAACAGAAGGATGAGAGTCTCCATCTATGTGTTGATTATTGGGCTCAACTCAAAATGGCTCATATCTACACCAAATTTGATCTCTGGGGAGTCTATAACCTGTAAATCTGTTCTGGGGATGAATGGAAGATCACTTTTAGAATGCTACATGGGCATTTTGAATACATTGTCTTGCCCTTCGGACTCATTAACACCCTGGCTACTTTCCAACATCTTATCAATAACATGCTATGAAATTTACTGGACAAATTTGTAATTGCCTATCTGGATGACATCCTGACTTTCTTGGAAAAACCTAGCCAACATGCAATGCACATCTGAATAGTACTGAAAAGACTGTCAATATGGCCAGTTTGCCAAATTAGGGAAACATGCATTTGACCAAACAAAGATCAAATTTCTTGGATTTGTTCCATCTCCTGAAGGCCTGAAAATGGACCCCAAGGAAGTCTCAGGCTATCCGTGAATAGAAAACCCCCTGGAATGTCAAAGAGCTCCAGAGATTCCTAGGATTTGTGAATCTGTATTGTAGATTCATTGCAAACTTTGCCTAGGTAGTAAATCTCCCATGACACTACTGCAGAAGTAGGTCCAGTTCTACTGGTCCAAGGAGGCCCTGCAAGCATTTGGACCCATGAAACAGGCCATCACTTCTGCCCCTGTCATTGGCAATCCCTTACATTTGAGGATGATTGCCTTCAATGACTGCTTTTTTTGTGGGTCCAAAAATGGATGACGAGGCCAATCCAGGATCAACAGACTGTTGCAAATAGGGCATGTGTATTTGCATGGAGTGGGTGGCTCTGGGTTCTTGATTAGGTCCGCAACACACTGTTTCTGTTGTTCCCACTTTTCAGTCTCCTGTCTTCTGTTGTCATCCTGCTGCCCCTGTGTTCACCTGTTCAGACCCTGCCCTTCCATTTGTAGTAGAAATAGATGCTTTGAACATTTAACAGTGCAGTGCTCTCCTAACTGCAGGGCTCACAACAGACCCTACACCTCTGCACTTTCTTTCCCAGATATAGTACCTCAACAGAACAGCATTATGAGATCCTGGATTGGGAACTCCTGGTTATCCATGTGGCCTTTAGCGAATGGTGGCAATACTTTGAAGGAGTGCGATATGAAATACAGGTCCTAATAGACCACATGAATCTAAAATACTTCATCAAGGTGAAAGCTCTCAATCTGAAGTAGCTGTTCTGCATGCTTTTCTTCTCCTGTTTTGATTTCCAAACAACATACCAACCCAGGTCCAGAAACAGAAAAACAGACACATTATCCCAAAAGATGAAATATGATGCTGATCATATGCAGGTGTCAACTGAACACAAACCTATTCTTAAGCTGCAGAATGTCACCAGCAACACGTTATCTATGGACTTGAAGACCCTGCTTCAAGCTGCCACCTAAGAAGAAATTCCCTCTGAGAAGTCCGCTCTCTCTTGACAGCCCCACTGCTGCACAGCTTGGGGCTCAGTTTCCCAGACAGATCTCCTGGCTTTGGACCTCCTGGTTTCTCTGACCCCAAAGTGACCTCCAGACCTCACTTGCTACAGTCCAGCATGACAGTGTGGGGCCAGAAGGGCTGAGTTGCAGTGTATGTGGCTGGGAGAGGAGAGAGCTGGGCTGCTCACTGCTGTGTGTGTGGCAAAGGGTGGAGGGGAGTTAGGCAGCCTGGATCCCCACCTGTTTCAGCTGCCTATGGTACATAGGCAGCTCTGTACCAGAGGCAGATGAGCAGCCCTTCAATCCCAATGCCATGTACACAGCAGAGGCAGCTTGGCTCCCTCCACCCCCAGCCCTGCAGGCTGGCCTCCCCCACCAGCACATCTCTCCCTGCCACAGGACCCCAATCCCAGCTGCATGCATGGCCCACTTACAGTGCAGTCAGGCTGTGCACGCTGCTCACACACTCCAGTCTCTTCCCAGCTGCTACGGCAGGAGGAGAATGGCAGATGGGCAGAAGCCTGAGGGCTGCATACTAACCTTTTGCAGGCTCATGCAGCTGGTGGGCCACCAGCTGGACAGCCCAGTTGTAGGGAATATATTCTGCCCTCCAAAAGATATAAAAATATTCTCTCTCCTCCAGGTGCTTTGTAACCACTACCACAACAACAAAAGAAAGAAAAGACCTTGAAAACTATCCAAATTGTTCTGCTGCTATGGAAACTAAATGATCTTTCACACATCAGTACATGCTAATGTGGTAGAACTTCATTATGAAACCCTAGTAAGGCTTATCTTCTTGTCATAATGAAGTGTTTTATATAACATCTCTTGAATTGATGCAAAAGTATTCGATGATGATATCATTGTAGAATGTAATCTATTCTACGACGATAATGCTTTTATTATAGGATTTTAACTTGGGTTACTCAGGCTAGCAAGTCCTGTGGCCTGAGCAGTAAAGTATCTGAATCGGAAATTGTGTGTGTTGCTGTATAATAGAAAAATGGATATAAGGAATACCCTTACACCTATATTAATGCTTTCCTCAGTTAAAGTACAAATGTATCTCACTCCTTCTCTGGTAGCAACAGGAAAATGTATTAGCTCTTTTAGCTCCAGTCATCTTTGTTTTTCCCCGTGTACACTCATCCCTCAAAACTACTCAGTATACTTCTCTTACAGTACACAGAGGATCAACTAATTAATTTCCTAGAAATAACTCAGCTTTGCTACTTTGCAGATACCCACATTAGATAAGACAACTTTTGTTTCTTCCTAGGACTAGGAGGAGAGACTTAAGAGCTTCCTGAGAATGCCATGCAGGCTCTCTACAGTCTGTTAAAAGTTTGGTAAAGATTTAGGTGCTTTTGAATGAATGTATACCTGCTAATATTTAAATAGGACAAAATCCACATAGGACAAAATTCCTCAGCCCAGGGGTTCAGTACGCCAGTTTCTGCTGCACAGCTTGGGGCTGTCTCCTGGGCCCTGTACCGGGAGGGGCGGGGGGGTGCACTTCAGCACCTCTGTTCATGTCCTCCTCCACCCCTGCAGCCACAACTCAGTCCTCTAGTTTCAAGTCTAAATGGAACCAAAATACAAGCCAGTTACTTCAAAATGAAAACAAGCAGTCTCCCCCCTTGAGTAAATGCTGCCCACAGACCTTACCTTCTTGGGAGCCTTCCTCCCAGCTTCCCTGGATATCTTAGATGTTTGTCTCCAACAGAACCTGTACTCTCAAGAGCTCCTCTCCCTGCTGCCTGGCTCTCCCAGTATGACTCCCTGCTCAGCTTAACCCCTCAGCCTAGTCTCCTTCTGGCCACTTGACTGAGTCTGCCCACTCCCAGTCACAGGGTGCAGCTAATTGCTCCATTAGCAGCCTGGCCTCATCAGTCCTGAGCTCGGTCCACCTGTGCTGCTATTCCTAACAGCCTTTTCCCCAACCTAGGTTTCATATTTTCTCAAGCTTGCTCCCCTCAGTAACAGAGGTGGGGGTTCCCTGTTACGTATACAATAATGTGGGAACCAGCCTTGTCTTCTGACTCTTCTCTCAATGTTTGATTCAGGTTTCTCTCCTTTGGTTGTGTGGTTGTTGGAGGCAGAAAAAATTATTTGGGGTGGCTGAGCATGTACATGCAAGTGTGCACGTGCCCCCCCCCCCCTTCTCTCTCTGCAGGTAAGCCTGTGGGGGAAGGAGAAGGGAGAAGGCTGAGGTGGTGGTGCAGATCGAGGCCCCAGCAGTGAGGAACGGAGTGGAAAAGGAGCAGGGGCAGGGGCAGGGGCCAGGGCAAGCTGGGCCCTGGCCGGGCAGCGAGACAACCGGAGCCTGGTTGGCTCATCCAGAGGTGCGGCTACTGTACGCACCCTGGCAGAGCCCCGGGGGGCATATGCCCATCCCCATCTGCATGCAGGGTGGAGGTGGCTGCCACGGCGCACCGCGCCCCGTTCCCAACTGCAGCTGCCCTAAGAGCCGCACAATGCCATGTGCATCCTGCCACTGATATATTCTTATATGATTAAACAAAAATCATAATGGTAAATGCACTATCTATATAGGATCACACAGGTACTTTACTTAGTAAAAGAAGATCTTACACACTTCAATGCATTTAAGCGTGGTTTTACCAAAGCAGGTGTGTTTACCTGTAAAACATTGACATTCTTTTCAACTGTCTGGCTTTCTTGTTCTAATAGAAATGTGAAATTGCTTAAACCAGTCATCTTTTGTCCGTCTCCCACAAACCAAAACAATGTGGTTTCACTTTTGGAAAATAGTCATTGCCATATTTGATCAGACACACGATCCTTCTAGCTTCAGAGTGTTCAGGTGCTATATTTAGATGCAATGCCTCACACCCTGGGGGAGTAGCTATAACAAGGTTCCACTTCAGGGGTGGCTGTGATGTCCCCTCAGCCTCCGCCAACTTTGCTCTCTTTGATCACTGTCTTCTTCCTCTTGCCCACCATGCCTTGATGAAATGATACTTTCAGAAAAGGGAGGCTGCCCAAGGGCTTCTCAAGACAAATCTCCTCATGAGCTCTGGTTTCACTGCTCATCACCTTAAGAGCTAATTAAGTGGACTCCATCCTAAGTAATACCCATGCTCTATCGTGACCACCTATTCAAAATGCAAAAGCAGGACACATGCAACTAAAAAAACCCAACAACCATGGTATGTGGGGTGCTGTATCACTGGCATCACCTGGAGGAGCTCCACCACAAGGGTGTGTGTGGCGGGGTGGTATAGGGCACTGGTGCAGGATGGCTGGAGGAGTGGTAGAAGGGTGAGGAGAGCGGGACACCCCACCCCCAGCATGCACACACACAGAGGTAGGGAAGGTAATGCTGCATTCCCCTGGGGGGAATGTTATAAGGGTGAATTCAACCTTCTGGAGCGTGCTGGTGGGGCAGGGCCACGGACCCTGTGACATCACAGTCATTCAGCCTAGGATTGGGACTTGATGTTTACATTTTGGGACTGTCCCACCTAATTAGGGGTGTGTGGTCATCCTGCCATGTCCATGCCTCACAGATGTCACTCACTCCTTTCTCTCTGCTGTTCCTAACTCCCCCTCAGGTTACAGGCCCCTTCTGGGCTATGGGCCCCCTGGCTCTTGCCTCTTTTGGATTACAGGATCCTTGGCCCCCTTCATCTCCAGCTGTGCCCCCCAGTCTTTGGCTGCTCTCTCTGGGCCCTAGCCCTGCTCCTAAACCAGTTTAGACTCTTGGGCTGCCTTGGCCCTGCCAGTCTCCAGCTGTGGCACTCCTTGATCTTTGACCACTATCTCTGGGCTCTGGTCCTGCACCCAGAGCAGTGAGATATTTGGGCTCCCCAGCCCTGTTTACACTCACCCCTCCTGGGCTCTGGCATCAGTCCTAGTGACTGGGTCCCCCAGCTTAGACCTACATTCTCAGTTTCACTGGTGGCTCAGTCCTTTTGCTGTCAACACTTCCAACTCCACTCCTACTAGGCTGCAGGCTCCTGGCCCTGCCTACTCAGCCCCTCCCAGGCTCAAGGTCTCTCCCTCTGGGCCCCATGTTCCCAAACCTGCTGGGACCTTCTCTTCCCCTTAGTTCCTTCCTAACCTCCAGAGTTGCTTGCCCCAGCTCAGATGCCAAGCAGGAACCCTACTGCCCAGAAGCTCCTCTCTTAATGACTTTCAGGGCTAGACTGCCTGGCCAGCTCAGGCCCTGGGCTTATATTTTGCTAACCTACTCCCCTTCTGGTCAGGTGACACTCTAATTGGCCCCTGGCACACCTGCAGACTGCTTCTCATGCTATCTGCCTTCTCTTAAAGTAGGAGGAGCACCAAGCCTCCTGCTACTCTGGACCAGTGGGGACTTAGAAGTTTTGGGTGAAAGTTTTAATGCAAATAGGAAGTGAAATGAGCCGCATTTTCTTGTAGGAATACCAGCATGGTATATATTTTAGAGTGTTTCATATTTTGTTTAATTTCTATGAATTCTTGATTTTTGGAGGGCTGGATCACTCTATTAAACATTTTGAATAGTTCCTAATAGTAGCTGATTGCTAATTTAAAATAATAAAACTCCGTAATTCTACCGAAATATCAGATTTAATGGGCTATTAAATCATATTAAAACATGGCTTTTGCCATGACACTATAGAGGCAGTCAGTGGTTTTTCCTAATGAAAAGGGAAGGTATTTCAGTAATGATATTGTAGGTTTCCCATTGAATATGTGGGCAGATACAGGACATGTATTTGGATGAACAATTTTTAAAATTTCTGTACGTTGCCGCCATCATGTTTTGTGATGGAAGAAAGACCCATTGCTACAGAGCTGTGTATGCTGACCCATTACCATTGTAAACATAAAACTATCCTTATTGAAACAGTAGCAGAAGCTAATGCAAATACATCTGTTAACTAACATAGTATAAATAAATTTCATATTAATGCATTTTTATACACAGATGATCTGTGCTGTGTGTTTTCTTAATAGTCAATATACATTAGGTGCTTTTGTAAATGGGAAGAGGCTAGCAAATGAGAGCTCTACATGAAAAGTTAATGTTTGAAATTTCATATTACTTCCAGAGATGCACACACACAAAAATGATGGATTTTACCTTCCCATTTCTGTTCTATAGATACTATTTAGATTAATTTTATTTTGGTTTCATATTCATCAAGATCTCAGCCACTTTGAGCTGTCTCTTACACTGTTTTCCTCAGTAGTATCCCATGACCCTTGTGCCTCTACTGAACAATTCTGCATTAGGAAACTTGCAGAGATGCGCTGTACTAGGCAAAGCACTAGCAGAATATCACTCAGAATTCCCTGATATATGCCTTGTCTTGTATGGTGCACCATATCTTTAGCTTACTGGCTGTGGAGCATGCTCTATTGGCTGGTGAGGAGTACAGTCATCATCAGGGATCCAGGTTTTCTGTTTGTTGTGGAAAAACACAGATTTTCTCCTTTAAAGGAGAAAAATGTGGGAAACTGTGGGTTTCCCCTGTGGGTTTGCCCCTGTGGGTTTCCCCTTGCAGAGTTCCAGCGCACAAGGGGCTGCTTAGGGCTGAGGGGAGCAGGAGGAGGCTGATCACAGTTAGGAGGTGCCATGTTCATGCGCACATGCACTCGTGTACATGGGAGCCAGGCAACGTGGTGGAGAGCAGCTCCCACAGCTCCCTGCAGTTACTTTACAGGGTCATAGGTGGGGCAGGGAGACATAGGCAATACATCGGGGTGGCATGGAGGAGCATGTGTTCCCCTCAATTTGTTCACCCACAACAGGCACGGGACTGCAGCCTGGCTGGACTGGTGTGGGGAGGAGCTATCACCATGGCCCAATGAGCAGGACCTGCCAGCAGCATGAGGAGTGGGGCTGTGTTGCCCTCATCTCCTCCCACTGCCATCCACTCGCATGCTGGCTCTACTCTACTGCCATGACCCAGCTGCTGCTGCTGCCACCACTCCCCTCCCCTACCCCAGCATGGGGAAAAATAAATACTGCCAATATTCAAGACGCCAAATCCAAGATGAGTTCCCCTCCCTCACCTGAGCGTGTGGAAAAAAACCCTTTGTCTTGATTTCAAGTACAAGCTTGTGAGGGGCAGGTGGCTGGTCCAGTCCTGGCCCAGGCTTGGGGTCAGAATCATAAATGCTGACCCCAAGAAATCCTTGCTTCATGTTTATTTGCAACTTCTTCCCTGCTCTATGGTGTCTGTGTCACTCCTGCCCTACTGCCAACACATGCACTTGGGGCTCCAGCTGCTGTCTGGCCTGGCAGTGGTGGAAGTGGTGGCAGAAGTTCTGGCCTCAATCCTGGCCAGGGCCAGGTAGGGGCCAGAGCCAGAGCCAGAGCCAGAATGTGTTCCATGCCCTGGCCTGGAGCTAGACCCAGAGCTATGATGGAGAGTAAGTGTCAGTGGGGTGGTGGGGGAGAGAGCACAGGGAGAAGTGGTGAGGGGGAAGGCCTGGGGGAGGCCTGGGAGACACTGTGTGGTGGTGGGGACATGAGGCAGGAACAGTAGAAGAGAGCTGGATTATGTAGACACCAGAGGCAGGGGAACAAGTGATGAGGGAGGCAGGGGGCACAGGCAAGGGGATGTAGGTGGCAGGGACAGGAAGTGGGAGAGCAAGGGGTATGGGTTAGGCTGCCTAACTCTCCCACCACCTGCTCCACCACTGCCTGTTTCTTAGAACTGCTTTCCCACTGCAGTAGTGACAGGGGGAGGGGGGATGAATTTAAGACAATCCTCCAGTAGTTATATTTTATACATGCAAAATCATAACAAATTTACAAAATTTTCCATGCATAGAAACTAATTATTTGGGGGCCATCTTAAACTGAAGTA